TCCTCCTCCTCACTATGACTAGCCAGCTCTCCTAGCAGAACTGAGGCAGCTGACCCTGTGTGTGGTCCCTGGCTGCAGCAGTCCCATAGGCAGGCAATATCCTCCAGGGAGGATAGAGAGCAGCTATCTGGGTTACCTACAGCCTCACCAGACACATTCCCTGGAAACTAGGGCCCAGTGTTCTGGGTCCAATGGCTTTGTCAAGGTGAGATAACATCTTCCATGTCCTCAGATACCCTGAGAGTCGGGTGCATGCCTGGGCATTGATGGGGAGGGTGGAGGCAAAGTGCCTATGATCAGTCAGCAGGCCCATGGAGAAGGGAATGAGGTGTTCCAGGAGGGGGCCACCTGCTCTCTGGGTCTTACAGAAGACACAAACCTGAAAAGCCAGCAGAAACCTTGGAAAGCATTCAGTCTTAAGACCTTATTTTCTGATGAGGAAACCAAAGGCCATTGCCATTAGGCACATCCCTGCACAAGCAGAAGCAAAGAGCCCCTGAAACCTGGTGTGTGGCCTCCAAGCTAAGGGCTCCCCATCTGTCCTCTACCCTGCTGCAGTCGGACATAACCCAGGGCAGGCCAGGCCTTGATTCTACTGTTTTCTGACTGTGGAAATGAAGGCCGCAGAAGCCACCTGTCTTTGCCTCCATTTCACCATCTATGAAATGGAACCATACCATGATCACACAGGACTGTTTGGAGAATGCAAGGTGGACCTGGCAGGCACTTGGATGTGCTGGTTTTAACTCACTCAATTGCTTCCTGTAGGCCAGACTCCAGTGAGATGCATGGCATAGGTTAACTCCTTTCATCCTCCCAGAAACCTCTTGAGGCATGTGCTAGTTCAGGCCTACTTCACAGAAGGGGAAACAGAGGCACAGGCCCATCGAGTAACTCACCACTTGGATCAGGCAGCTTCGATTCTGAGTCAGTGCTTTTACAGGTGCTGCCAGAACACCCCAAAGCCATAGAGATTAACACCGATTATCTGAGGATGTGTCATGGTGTGCAGTATGCATTGGTTATTAGTAAAATGATAGAACTTCGAGAGCAGGAACCCTGGAGGTGTCCCAGGAACTTAATCCTTCTGATCAGCTGGGGCCTAAAACATGTGTTTGGGGTTTCAGCTGTCATGATATCAGAGGTATATAAGGGGAGGGGACCAGAGGTGTGAAATGTCCTGCGATGCTTAGGACAGACCCTTCCCCAAAGGCCAGTAACCTCTGACTGAGAAACCTATGCATTAAGAGTCGTCCAGGGAAGACAGACCCAAAGACAAGGCTCTGACCACACAGGACACTTGTAGAGGAGGATCCAGGAAGGCTCATGTGGTCCTGGACTTCTCTTTAGCCATCTAGGAAAAGAATAAAAGGATAAATCAGCATGATTCAATTAGGCCAATGCTTCCCAAGCTTTGGTACGTGGGAAAACATTTACCATCTTGATAGTTTTCTAGATTAATGTGTATGATGATCATAACTAGCAATAAGATCGATGATTAAACAAATATGATTACATTATTTAAGACATATCTAAAAGAAATGCAGTTGTCCCTTGATATCTGCAGAGGATTGCTTCCAGGATCCTTAAGTCCCTTCTATAAATGGGCGCAGTGTTTATATATGACACATGCACGTCCCCTACTAGATGATTACGTGTAATACCTAATACCACATAAAGGCTATATAAACAGGTTTCAGACTATATTGTTTTGAGGATGATGACAAGGAAAAAAAAAGTTGGACTGCGGATTTAGCTCAGTGGTTCCATCGCCTGCCTCACAAGCACAAGGTCCTGAGTCTGATCTCCAGTACCAAAAAAAAGTCTGTACATGTTCAGGGCAAATGAAATTTTTAAAAATATGTATTTCCAGTAATTGAATCATAGACATAGACCTCAAGGCTGTGGAAGGCTGATTTTTTTTTTTTTAGGAAGCAAAAAGTGTACCAAAGATAAGTGGAGATGATATAAGTAATATATATTTGGGTTTTGTCTTGACTTCTGGCCAGATCTCCAAAAACTCTTGTGCTTTTCCTAAGTGATAAAAGTGAAAGCAGCAACTTTTGTTATAATATTTGGATTTTTTTTTTTATCTCCAGTGCCTGAAATAGCTCCAGAATGATAAAGATGTTCTGCAGAACAAGCCTTTTTCGATCACACCTGAGTCTATGTTAATGAGGTGACTTTTGAAAAGCACCCCCCCCAACTTCAGGACAGAGACTCGAGGCCAAGGGAGCCAATCCTGAAGTTAGAGAGTTGGAACTTTCAAGCCTTTCCCTAAACCCTGGAGAGGGGAGGGGGGCTGGTGGCTGAATTGTGAATGGCTAACAATTTAATGAGGTTTCCATAAAACCTCAGAAGAAGGGTTTCTAGAGCTTGTGGGTTGCGGACCAGACGGCAGGGTGGGGAAGATGGGGCACCCAGAGAAGGCACAAAAGCTCCATACCTGTCCCCATGGCTTGCCCTTCACAGTTTCTATTGCCCTGCTCCTAAGTTCTACTGTTTGTAATTAACTACTTCACTTGATTTTAGCCAAAGGCTGAGAAGAGATCATAATAAACTACTTAACGTAGATAAACGTTTTCCTGAGTTTTTAGACCTGTCCTAGCAATTTACCAAACCTGAGGAGAAGGCTGTGAGAACCTCTAATTTCCCACACATAAGTTGTAGGTGACTTGGGGACCTGCTACTTAGGACTGACATCTAAAGTCTGGGAGGGTCTTGTGAGCCTGAGCCTTTAACCTGTGGAATAGCTAGTGCCAAATTTTATTATTATTATTTGTGGGGGGGTACAGGGAATTGAGCTCAGGTCCTTGTGCTTGCGAGGCAGGTGGTAGAATCACTGAGCTAAATCCCTGGCCCATGCTAATGCCACATTTTAATTAAATTTTAGGACGCCCAGTTGGCATCTGCAGAGATTTGGAGAGTTGCTTG